GAAAGTAAACTTCATGGCTCAAGTCTCGCATCCTTGTTAGCTCATCGTTCAATAAATTCGTACAGTAATGCGAGACTGTCAATGTCAAGCACGCGAAAGTCAATCCCGTATATGCCGTACTCTTTCTATGTCTCGAAGACTCAAGTGTTGTCCTGTTAATACATTACAAAACAAATTATAATATAATCTACTTATATAATATAATATATTATATTATATATAATATATTTGAAGAATGTACCTGATTTCAGTCAATTGAGACTCGATCTTCTTATCAATCTTATGCCACACTGTATCTAGCGCGCCAGTCGACATGCGAAGCCACTGCTTCAACACAGAGTGGGCACTTTCCACCCTACAGGTAGTTGTGTTGCCAAAATGTGTTACTTGGTTAGTCCAGGCTTTCACAAACTTCTCCTTGTAGCCTAGCCACGTCTGCTCGAGATATTGTACCACTTTTGAATCATTCCCGTAATTTGCATTCAGTTGAGCTACGGCAGCGTCGTACTCATCCGACGTACTGGCATCCATAATCGACTTCCACCAACCGCGCAAGAACCTCTCAGATAAATTTTTATCTTTCCCAAACAAGTTGTACACTTTGTTTTCCACATCCTTGTTGATGTGCCACGTGCAGAGTAAGTGGGCAGATTAGGGAAAATGCCTCCTAATAGGAGTCAATAAGCCCAACTCTCTGTCACTGACAACCGCATTAGGATGCACCTGAGCAGCGTCAAAAATTAGTGAGACACGCAAAAAAAACCTCAAATTTTTTTACCATATTGCACAAAGTACGTTTCTATAGTAATTAAATTAATAATGTACTTTATATAAATTCTTACCGTATAGCCTATGAGAAGTCTCAACTTGTCGAGAACCCAATCATAACTGGCCTCTTTCTCGTCCTTCATGACGGCATACGCAATTAGAAAGTTATTGTTGCACGGCGTCATGCCCATCATCTCGACCAACGACATCTTGTACCTGTGAAAATGAGACCAAAAGAAATAAATTATAATCACATTAAATCTAATCTAAAATACATATTTAAATTAATACTAATAACATATCTATAAATTTAAAATACCTGTTGGTTTTGTACGTCGAATCTATGCCGACAAACCAATAATAAGTCCGGAATAGACTCACTGAATCAAGATGGGCCATTGTAATAACCCAACTACATGTTAATGGAAATGATGTATTATCTTTTATTGATTCCGTTCATTTTCAGCGAATAAGTTCGACGTTAAGTCGAAAAGTTTATTAGGTTAATTATTAACCGAGTCCAATTGATAATTAGTTTCCGAACCGTTTATTTTATAAACGGACATTATTAATCGGGATTAATTTTTAATAGTTTAGCATGTTCGGAATTAAGTTCGAGGTTGAAACTAAGTTAAGTTGAGAAAGAACGCAAGGTACACGAAGCATACGCATGTACATGTACTCATGCACGCATGCCATGCGCATAGCTACGCACGCAGACGCGCACAGCGCGTATTGTCGCGCTGATGACGGATCGATCTTTTGTCTATACTGGGTTGCGAATAAACGACGCACTGAGGCCTTCGTTTATTCCCGATAGATGTATCTAGCAGACGCACTGCGGCCT